GAATAGGGTGGAATTTTTTTTGTTTTATATGTGAAAGTAGTATTAATATTTTTTTTCTTTAGAAATAGGATCTTCTTTTAGAAATGATTTTATAAATTATATTCTAAGTTTTTGTTATAATTTATAAAAAAATAATGAACAATTTTTTTGTTTTTGTGTTAATACTTGAATTATCAAATAATTAAATATAGTAATATAAATAAATACGTCAGTACAAATTAATTTATGCAATTTGGCATTATGCTAGTAATTGAAAATCAATTATACTGGAAGTATATTCTAAATACAACTAATTAAATTAAAAAAAAGCCATGATTTCATTTTTTTAATATACAAATGTCATAAAAAAAATTTGCTTATTCTAATATAAATTATAAAGTCAGAAGTCAACTTTGTGTATTGATCTTAGTAAAAACATTTGCTTATTTTAAGGCAAAATTTTGCCGATCATCTCTGACTTTTATATGTATTTTTCGGGGTCCTCTCTTACCGCATATGAAATTAACAAAATACTTTTTCAACTTGCGGCTAATCTTGAATGTATTGGCATTCATACTTATGGATCTGTCTGTGATGGTGCTGGAGAAAATAGGAATCATATTAAAAGTTTTGACTGGTGGGCTTCGTCATGGTCCTTAGAGAATATTGTTGAAGTTGATACTGGAAATAACAATTATGAGCGTGCAAAAATTATAGCAAAAAGTCTTGATTGTAGTAAGTTTACAGTACAATTACTGGATTCATCCATTTCTAATAAACTTCAAGTTGATCGCAATTCATTAAGACAACCAATGCCTACCAAACAAAATTGGAATATTAATGATTCCTGTGAATTTAAAAGTCCTAAAGATAACAAATGGCATGCAGCTATTATTACAAATATTAATTCTGAAGCACAAACATTTGATGTCCCAATTTTGTCTAATAAAGAAGGATGGAAAGTAGCAATTGTATCTCAAGATATATACGTTAGACCTTTTTATGATACTCAGGTTCATTGGACAAATTATAAAACAATAAATCCAATTACTGGTATACCATGGTTTTTTATCAGTGATCCTACACATGTTTTCAAAAAACTTCGAAATAATCTTTCAAAAAGCCATACTGGAGAAGGTCAAGTCTGAAATGTTAGAGAGATTATGATAGATGGAAAAGAGGTTAGCTGGCGTCATATTCAAGGTGTTTATGAGTATACTGCTCAAAATTCAACAGCAAAAATCACAAGACTTACCAAGCGCCATGTCTGGCTTACTTCATGGAGTAAGATGCGAGTTGACCTAGCTGAGCATACCCTATTCAAGGATGTTGAAAATGCAATGAATTTAATAGATGAGCTGAAAGAAATATCGACAGGAACAAGAGTGAGTGAATAATAAAAAGAATTAAAACAAAATAAAAAAAATACTAACAAATTTTTTATTCAGGAATTTATAAATTATTTAAGTCTTTACCGTCAAATATTTCATAGCAAAAAACCCCTAGAAGGTCTTGCAGATTCTCGTCTTCAAACCTTACAAAAAATTTATGATTGGTTTGTAATTAGAGATCGTCAAAAAAACAGTACAATAAATTGGATTTCACTACAATGCCAATTTGATTTACTTTTATCTATCCAAGGTTTTTTGGGAATGATAAAAGAGATTTTTACTCTATATCCAGATTCAGTTATTGAACCACGCCGAGTATCACAAGATATATTAGAAGGACTATTTGGAACAATTCGACAGCTTGGAGGTGATTCTTCTACACAAACCTTAAAAGGATATGGACATGCATTAAATAAGTTTCGGGTTACTGCAAGAATGACTTCTGAACTCAAAAGTGTTAATTATGGGAAATCAAACCATACTGGAATGGAGTTTGATTGTCTTACTCGATAGTAAGTAGTTTTTTTTGCAAATTAATATTTACTTTGTGTAAAATATTTAATTTTAATTTGATTATAGAAAAACGTTGAAAAATAATAGTATGCATTCTACTTTATTATTAAGTAATGCTACACAATTATCCAACATGTCACCCTTTGTACGGAAAATTTTTGAAGTTCTTCTCCTAGATGATCTATTTATGGGAAGAATTGAAACTCTGACATTATCTTTTAGTGAAGAAGTTCATCAGCTAAATCAAAAGGTCTCCCTTTTTCAAAAAGAACGCCAGCAGTTTTTTAATTCGTGCCTCTATAATAATGGAATTTTTTCTTTGTTAGAAAAATGGAGAGATGATATTAAAAACATTGTTTTAAAATCAATTCCTAAAAACAAAGGAAAACTCTGGACAACTGCATGGATTTCTCGTCTGGAAATTCATCTGAATAATTATTTATGTTCTGGTATTTGGTTTTTGGAATTTCAAAAAATTATTTTACAAAATCATTCTGCCATAACAACACAAAGATTAGTTGCCTATTTTCTTGTTCGCAAAGTGATAGAGGAACTATTTAAGAGTAATGTTCGTGAAAATAGAAACATAGAAGAATGTGCAGATCCTACCTTAACTCCTAAGGATATTGTTACTCTGAATCAAGCAGAATCTTCAAAATTTTCTTATATTATAGGCTGGGTACTCTTCAAATTACTTAAAAGAGACCATTTAATGAATTTCCATCCAAAATTTCCAATTATGCACACTTTACTTGGAGCTCTCTGTACAGAAAAAGTTGAATATGTGGCGGAAACCAAAACACGGACCACTAACATTATACCTGGGCCTGAATTCATACGGTTTATGTATTATTTAGAATCTTTAGTAATTGAATTGTTCAAAAAATATAACGAATTGGGACCAAACATTTTGCGCTATGTGAAAAATAGTCTTCTTTCTAATTTACCTTTAAATCAAAATTTTATTACAATTTTGAAATATTCAACAAATAATAATATCGAATTGGAAAATGAAGAATTTGGATTTATTTACGAAAGGTGTACAGTCAACTCCCTCTATAGTCACTCCCGTTATAGTCACATTCTACTATATAGTCACACCAGTTGAATGTTCAAAACACTTTATTATTAAAATCTATCCTATATAGTCACAATCTATCTATAGTCACTATCACACCTATCCTCATAAATCTTATATTAAAAAGAACCGTTTATAATCACTGTTATATAAAGAATATATTAAATAACTTGGCATCTAATAATCGTACAAATATGTATCATAGCTTGTTAGAATCGTCTCACTGAGACGAATCGAATGGTGGTAGTTTTATCCTTTTATGATCACTGGCTGACGAGTTATTCAACAAAATGTTAAACATCGGCATTATAATATTTCTTGATTTACGTTTACTGCGCTATTTAACATTTTGCTAGATTTCTCGGTACCTAGTGATTGTAAAAAGACGATTTATAGCTCGTTGGAATTGCCTCATCAAGACGAATCGAATGGTGGTAAGCTCATCTCTCTGTGATTAATATTGACGGAGTTATTACTTTTAAACCATTTAATATTTTTTAATTTCGGAAATTGATCTAGTGATCGGATTTCGATGTATCTTATACCATTAGATTCGTCTCATCTAGATGAATCTAATGGTTGTAAGATCGTCTTTCTAGGATCAATATTGGCAGAGTTATTACACAAAAACCATTAATATTTTTTTAATTTCGGAAATTAATCTAGTGATTGGATTACGACGTATTTTATACCATTAGAACCGTCTCATCAAGACGAATCGAATGGCGGTAAGATCATCTCTCTACGATTAATATTGGCGAAGTTACGATACAATAAAGTTTTAAGTATAATTCTGGCTAAAATTATGTTAATTTTTGGCCGGAATTATGTTATACAAATATAAGAAATTTTTTATATAGTCACATCTTTTTATAATCACCAAATATGGACTGTCCCAAATGTGTGACTATAAAGAGAGTTGACTGTATCTCAATCTATATGAAAAGTCGTCAAAAAACATGGAGGGACGTTAATAATTATATTCCAGAAAAAGGCACCGCAAGTTTAAGAGAAAACTTGAAAACAATGCGTTCAAGTCATTCTACAACAGAAAATAAAAAACCCTCTCTCATGAAAAAAGCAAATTTACCTACTAATCCTGCTCATGCTTTGGAACAACTTCGGGTATGAGCGCAGCTTGAAGAAGTAGAAGATTCATTCGCTAAAATGTTTTTAGTATCAGAATTATTGTGGTTAATCTGGGCATTTGGGACTTCAACACCATATAAAAAAAAACAAAAGTTGGTACCTATAATTATTTTCAACTTGAAAAATCGGTCACCTTTTACTGACGAAGCATTTAACTAAGAATTGTTTCATAGATAATTGTGTCATTGTTCGATATAAATAAAGTAAAAAATATACTACGATTAAAAAAATTTTATTATTAATTTTCCCGACTGAGAAAAAAATATTAATTACATAGAAACCCTTAATTAAACATATTTGAGCTAACCAGAAAGCCAATAACGCGCTAAATGCTATGAAACTTTGGCAGTAAACAGTTCTTTTGTATGCTACTTTATGCTCGAACATCAGCTTTTAGAAACGTTGTGTGTCAAAAGTTTTAGGCTTGAGATATTTTTTTTATATAGTAAAAAAAAATGATCAGTATAAATTCAGGGGTGACAGTTTTGATGGTGACACAAAAAATAAAAAAAATAAGTTGTCCTCCCACACCCCTAGTAAATACTATCAAATTACCCCTCTATAATCACAATTTGACTATAATCACTATCACCGCATAATCCCAAACGGATATATCATTTCTATTAATGATTAGACCTCTATTAATCACATCATAATTTCGGCCAAAAAGCAATTTCACCCAGAATTACGAAACATATAATTTTTTCTTTCCTTTTTAGGAATTAATGTTACACAACATTCCAACACAAAATCAGCAAAAAGATTTTTTGTGAAATGGCTATCACCAAAAAAGGAAATATCCGTAGTGATCACATAATTTTATAAATTATAATTTACTAATTTTGGTCAAAATTAAGATATAGTACCTGTATATAAGCACACCCCTATACAATCACTAATTTTATGGGAACCAATTAGGTGACTATATGAGGGTCTGACTGTATACTGTTTAATAAAGTAATATATAAAACAAACATATATAAAATAAATCTTTTTGTAACAAAGTTTTTTATAGTAAATTTTTTTTATTATAACAAAGAATTTTGCAAAATGAAATTTTACCATAAAAGACAATTTACATAGTTTTTTCAAATATAGTAATTTTTAACCATTTTTCTTAAATAATAATGATAGAAGTTCATATTTCACATTTTATTATTTTATAACTTCATTTTTTACTTTGCCTCACATATATTTTTAATATGCCAAAAATAACCATTAGAACATAATATAATAATAAAATTCCTAAAAAATATAAGTCTCTTACTATGGCACAAAAAAAATAAACCTGTTTAAGGAAAATATCTAAGTCTTTTTTTAAAATAAAAAGAGTTGATTAATAAATATAAAGTTAATGAAGGAATGATTAGTGATATTTTAAAAGCAAAAAACTGATAGCTTTATGTTGATTTTAATAATTCACATTAATTGAAATTGGTTTGAAGTATAAAAAAAACTTCTATTTATTATTATTGAAGAAGCTTTATTTCTTTAAGTAGAAAATGCCCTTTAAATTGAATTTAATATTAGTTACAAAATTCTCAAAATTAAGGCTTTAGAATTTGCTTTTTTATGTAAAAAAAAAAAAATTTAAAAGAATCAATCGAGTGGATTGATAATTTTAAAAAGTGGTATAATCTTAAAAAATAAATATACATAAGAAAGCAGTAGGTATACTACTTTAAAATCTTAATGCAATACATAAAAATCTTTATCAAACTCTAAAGAATTCTGCTCCTGAAAATATTTTTAATTGAAATGAAATAGGTATTTTTTGGAAAATAAAACTTAACCATATAATATCAAATAGTTCAATTGTTAGAACAAAACAATTAAAAAATCATATAACTGTTTTACTTACCTGTAATACAACTGGAAGTGAAAAAATATGCCCATTATTTATACACAAATATAAAAATCTATAAGCCCTTAAAAATATCAACAAGTTGATATATTTTTTTTTTCATTGACAATATATCAACCTATGTCTTATATGACAATATATATTTTATTAATATTATAATTGAACACTTTTCTTCAAATATTACAGCAGTATTACAATACACTTACAACTGTATAATCAAGGAACCATTAATAGTTTTAAAGTAATTTATTTATTTTATCAATATTTTTAATATAAGGTTTAAAATTTGAACGCACCTGCGTTTGAACTATATATGAAACTGAAATTGGTTAATTTTGACCTCTGAAATGGTCAAAATGGTCAAAATGATTTCGACTTGAGCCCCTCCAAAGTTGAAATGGTCAAAATTATATCATAGCTAGTCATATGATTTTATAGTAAACAATAATATTAAAATTTAAAGTTAACGAACTCCGCATCCAGTGATTCAATTTTTATGATCTTTATACAGTTGGATTCAGCTCATCGAGAGGATTCCATGATATGTATTTCATATTTGTAGCATCAATATTGACGAAGTTATTCACGTTTAAAATTTGGTATTAAATAGTCTTATAATTTTTACAATAATTTTAAAATTCAAAGTTAACGATCTCCGCATCCAGTGATTCGATTTTTATGATCTTTATGCGGTTGGATTCAGCTCATTTATTGGATTCCAATGATATGTATTTCATTTCTGTATCATCAATATTGACGGAGTTATTCACGTTTAAAATTTTATATTAAATTATAATTATGTAATTTTGACCATTTCGACTTTAATTTTGACTTTTGACCATCCCAAGTCAAAATATTTCTACTTTTGGGCTTTAATTTCGACTTCATGTATAGTTTGAATGCACCCCCCTTTTTTTGAAATTTTTAAATAGTAAATTTGTTGATCATTTATGATAGGGTTTTGATCCTTTTTTAAGCTATCCAGATGAATCTGTTATTCAAGCTTAATTAGGATGATCCTTATGATGGATTTAGACAGATTGTGTAATCCAGATTTGCAGATTGGACGGATTGTAATCCAGATTAGTATATAAATAGTTAAATACTGATTTGCTATATTAATAATCACTATTTACTTGAACAAAATTCTTTACGTCCCACTTAAATTATTGTTAACAATGGAAAATAATAATATTGAAATTGATTTGGATAATGAAGTATCTCCTAATAGAAGTTTACGAAGGCCTTTAAGTTCAAAGAATACAAATTTAGAAACTACTGTCCATGAAATTAGAAGAAAAGGTTGTAAAATAATTCTTTTTATTAAAAAGAATAAAAAATTTATCTTTTTTTAATTAATGTTTATAAAAGAGAAAAGAAATTATACAAGTATCACATATAGTTATTTTACAAAATGTTCTGATATTAATGGAGAATTATGCATATGTACATTTTTGGATGAAAAGGGAAATCGTTGTGGAAAAACTTATCGAAATATGGGTAGTTCAACTGGAAATCTACTTCGTCATCTTGATGAAGCATATCAAATATGTTCAAATAGTCATAATAATAAAAAGGTACTGTATATAGTTAATGTATATAGTTAATAATTTACATTTAATTTATTTATTACTTTTTTGCTATTTAATAATTAAAATCTATTTTAGGTACGAACACAAAACAGTCAACCACATCCTCCAGATGTTCAGAGACAACGTGAAGAATTAATATTAAAGTGAATGTTAAAAACAAACCAGCCTCTTTCTGTTATTACAAACGAAGCGTATAAGGAAAAAATGGCTGAATTTGATCCAGCATTTGTTATACCAGGGGAGAAAAAATTCGTACTATGATTGGAAGGAGTTTTAATCATAGTCAACAAATTCTTCAAAATCTTATTAATGAAACTTCACAAAACGTTTCTTTAACAGCTGTCTTTTAGTCAAGTCAATCAAAACATAGCTATTTGGAAATAACTGCTGTATGGATTATACCAATATTTGAGATAAAAGATGTAATGTTAGAGATTGAATATATACCAGCTCCTCATATATCAGAAATGATTGCCAATTCATTTTATAAATTTATTTCAAGTTGGAATTTAAGAAACCGGATTACTTCAATTACCATTGATAATGGTGCAAATATGGTTGCAGCAGTTCGTTCTTTAAAAGAAAAATCTGGGTGTATTAATATCCAACATATGCCATGTGCTAGTCATACCTTACAACTTGCTATTGGAAAGGGATTGGCATATGCAGAAGCCTTAATAGCACGAGCAAAAAAATTGATATGATTCTTTGGAACTCAAAGTAGAGCGGCTACTTGAAGTTGAAAAAAAGCTTGGTTATGAAGATTGTTTACACCTTATCCAACTTGTTAGAACTCAACATATTATGCTTAGGATTATCTTTTTTTTCTTAAAGATGTTATTGTTCAACTTCAAACAGATTTATGTATATCAACAAATAATGAAGATAAAAGAGATGGTAAAAAACTCAAAAATATTATACTTTCAGATGAAGAGTGGGAATTAATAGACCAATTAGTTAATTTGTTAATGCCGTTTGAAAATGCTACCTGTGAATTTTCAGGTGGAATATATATTACTTTTAATAAGTAAAATGATTGATACTATTAAATAATTGATTTTCGACTTGGCTGATTTTCTAGCATTATCACCTATTAATCCTTCAGAAGACAATACAGCATTTGGGTTAGAAGAGATTATTGAACCAATTGAAGTTGTTGAAGTTGATGATAATGAAGTAATTGGCAATTATACAAAAAGAAAAATCTCAATAAAAAATCCTTTGAACACAGCTGGAATCTTAAATACAATTAAAGCCAAATATATATATATATATATACATATATATATATATATATCATATACTATTCATTAATTTATTATTGGAATATTCCAATTGATTCCAGATTTTTAGCCACACTCTTAGATCCACATTATAAAAATCTGGATTGTGTAGAGGTTGAAAATAAAAAGACCTGCATTATGCAAAAACTTTATTATGAGTATGAATCAATGAAAGGTACACCTATACCAGTTAAAAGTCCTGAATATCTTTCTACTGATGCAAATAAAAATACACATTCATATAAACAATATCACCAAAATCGACTTGACAAGAAAAAAAAGAAAGCCCTAAATGAACTATCAGAAGAAGATGAAATAACAAGATTTTTAGAAATGCAAGTAGCTTTGGAAGTAGAAAATCCATTGGAATAGTGGGGAAAAAATTCACAAAATTTTCCAATTCTTTCTCAGCTTGCTCAAAAATATTTGGCTATACCCGGCAAGTGAACGCTTATTCTTAAACGCCAGAAGCCTTATTTCTCCTCTTAGAAATCGTCTTAATCCAACATTAGTAACTAAAATGCTCTTTTTAAAACGAAATATAAAAGTTAAAAAAGTTTTCACGCCAGATTGGAATAACTTAGAAGATGAAGCATTATTAGAAATAGAAGTATAATAATTTTATATTGTATACTAATATTATTAAAATAATAAAAAAAAGATTTTATATAATATACATAATATTAAATAATTTATTAATTTTATATTGTATACCAACATTATTAAAATAATAAAAAAGACATTTTTTTTTGCGAAACATTTCTTAAGAATTTTTAAGCTAATCAATTAGAAAATAAAATTTTAGGATAAATATTGAATGATATTGGAGAAGAGAATAATGCCATTTAAAACAATAAAGAATTTGTTTAGCTGGTCTAAACAAAAACTTACTGCGCTAACGTCAATTAACAAAGAAATAGAAACTGCAAGTAAATTAGAATTGGAAGAGGGAGAACTTGAACAACTCCCCAAAACTTTCCCAAATGACAATCAGGACAACAACAAGACGCGTACACAACAGACAAAGACTAATTATACACAATCAAATGACAATCAGGACAACAATAAGACGCGTACACAACAGGCAAAGACTAACTATACACAACTAAATGCAAATGTATATAACAACAACAACAACGTGGAGATTAACAACACATTCAATTTAACGTTTATGGGACACAACATTAACGGGCTGGGCCCAGATCATTCCAAACTTAACTTACTAACGGAATATTGCTCAAACAAGGGAGCTGACATAATAGGTATATGTGAAACAAACAGAGATAGAAAACACGGTGAATATTGGAATAAGCAAAGCTTAGTATACACCTCTTTCTGGACTAATAAAGACAATAAGATAAAAGGATCCGGAGTGTGCATAATGATCAATAAGAAATGGGAAAAACACATTGGAAAAATTAGAAGATTGGGTGCATACTATATAGAAGCTTTGTTGTTCTTTAAGAATTGCACGCTCATAATAGGTGTAATTTATTTACCACCATCAGACACGAAAAAACAAAACGAGCTCACAAACTACATTAAAAAAGAATTCACTAATCACAGCAAGAAAAACAGGTATTACGTTTTGATAGGAGATCTCAATTCATACATGGATAGAACATTAGATTATAGTGGCCCATCCAAACTTGGAAAAAGACCTTCAAATATTATTACATGGCTAGACAACGCCTTCTTTACGGACTAAAGCTCTGAACGGTTCCGATTTGAACCGGGAACCGATCCGGAACTGGCAAAAAATTCGGTTCGATTCTCGGTTCGGTTTTGGACTTGGAACCGTCCGGTTCGGTTCAGTTCTATCCGAAATTAAGAAAAAATGCGAAAAAACGAATATACGACTATCCAGTGATCGTACAAGGACGAGCCATAGCTCGTTGGAATCCTCTCATCGAGACGCGTCGAATGGTGGTATAATCAAGTCTCTAGCATCGATACATCACGAGATAGCACATGGTGCTGTCTCTTATACACATCTAGATGTGTATAAGAGACAGGTATAATAGTCACTAACAATAAAGGAGGCAGAAGAGCAGAAAAAGGCTCAACACGCATCGTATATGATTATGAGAATACCACCAACGAACAGTGGAATGCATATGAGAATTACCTTAAGATCCTTCTGGAAAAACACAAGGCCTTTGGATACATAGAAACCCATGGACATAATGAAAATACACTGAACAAATTGTGGGACATTATATGTAATTGTGTACAACAAGCCGCACTCAAACACATTCCACACAAAAAGATAGGTGGGGTCAAAACCAATTTTAATAGAAACTACAAAGAAATCGAAGATTCCTCTAAAGAACGTAAAGACCTATTATATATTAGAAGCATAATGAGGAAATTATATAAAAATGAATTAAAGGGAATTGAACTACTTAACGCATCGAAAAGAATCAAATCATTCAACTAACGCTATAGAACTGATATAGCAGAAATAACGGAAAACACAGACTGGAATATATGGAAGTGTGAAATGAGAAATTGGTTGAAAATAGTGAGAAGAGTGATTAAAACAAAGGATAATGCGATTAAAGAAGCATCAATAAAAAAAAGGATTGAGGAAAGAAATAGTATGATCACTAAGGATCAACGGAAAATGATTAATAGCATCTTGGACAAGAAATATTCAAAAATCAGCCTAGATAAAGTGCGTATACTTACGGACGTACAAGAAGAAATACTGCTGAACTCTAAAGAGGAAGTTCATGCAGAAGCGATCAATACATATTCATCCCTATTCCGTTCACGAAATCATAAGTTTGAGAACCTTCCAGAACCTTTTAAAGAAATATATGAACCACGGAAAGACATAGACCCAAAAATATACGAACATCTAGATGACATTCCGACAGAACAAGAATGGTATGAGATGCTTGAAACCATGAATGACAAATCAACCCCAGGGATATCCAACATTAGCTATAAACTAATCAAAAAAGCGGGTGCAAAGATCAATGACTTGTTCAGACAATACACGGGGTTATGTTATTTACTGCAAAACATACCGTTGAAATGGAAAATCTCACAATTATATTCAATTCCTAAGACATATGACTGGGATTTCAACTTAGCGAGGACAAGGCCAATCCTACTTATCGAATGCTTACGTAAATGTGCAGTTAAAATCATCACAAAACGCTTTGGAAATATACTTAGCAAACACGCCATTCTGAAAGGGCCGAATTACGCAGGATTACCAAGAGAATCAACATCGGCACCACTAGCAATAATAAATGGCATCTTGGAAGATGCGTGTGATAAAAACAAGACTTTATGGATAGTAGCCCAGGATATGGCGAAGGCTTTCGACAGTGTTGGAATGATTCTCCTTCAAAAAGCCTTAGAAAGAATAAGATTGCCAACATCTACCACTAATTTTATTATAAACATTTTCAAGAACAGGAAAATCAAAATCATCACGGCATACGGCTTAACTGATACATTCACCGCAAGCGACGGCATAGACCAAGGGGAAGTGATCTCACCCTTAATATAGAGAATTTTCTATGATCCCCTGCTTCACAGAATACAGGAAGATGAAGCTTTAGGATACTGTATGGAGATGAAATGGCCAGATAACGTTACTAATAACAATAAACGGAATATAATGATACAAACCACTGCGTCAGCCTATGCAGACGACACTCAATGGATTGCTAAAAGCAAAGATGAAGCAAAAGCAATCTCACTAATCGCGGATGAGTTCTTTGATATTAATGACATAAAAATTAATGAGAAAAAAATGGAAATCATTGTTGTAAACTCAGAAGAGAGAAACGAAGAGGAAAATTTCTTAGAGATAGGGAAAAATAACAATAAAGTGTTAGTTAACAA